AAAAAACCCTGAGGAGGAAAGAGGATTCATTCCTACCTCTGAAGAGCCATGAGGAGAAGAGAAAGAAAATGAGGGAAACTGGAAAAAAGGGAGGATCCAAGCCCCGCCCACACAAAGCAGCAACGCTAGGCCGCGGTGAAGCCACCCCTCGCTTTGTGCTCGTGTGAGACAGGCCTGGTTGAAACCCCATATTTTCCAACAAAATACACAGGGACTTTAAAAAAAAAAAAAGGAGTGCAGCCAGAATAGAAATGAGAGATGGGATATGGCATGTTCTGCTTGATGACATGATGCAGGCTAGTGTAAGAAAGGGAGGGCAAGGCCTTGTGTTTCTACAGCAATACACGGAGTTTGTTATGTGTGATGGCCATTGGAATCTGGTGGTGCCTCCAATAGACTCCGTGGCTTCTCTGTGCTTATCTGTCAATGACTTCTGCTCCGGAAAAGGCAGCAATTAATCCAGGTCAGACTTGTGAGTGGTCATTTGTCATTCTGCTATGCAACTTAACTTCCTTTTTAAATGACTGGTTTGTCTAGATGAAGGTTGTATGGCTCCTTCATTTCCTGTCATTGTTTCCCTAACAGCAACATTTTTTCTTCCTACATCTTAACTAGAACTGGCAGGCAACTGAATCTAAGACCCTTGCTCTGATTCTGATGTGGTCTTTTTAATAGTAATTTTTCTTTTGGGGGGAAAAAGCAAAATGGATTAAGAAGCCATGAGCAGGTTCTGCTCCGAGAGAGGAAGATGGGGCCATTACATACCTCACTGTCCTATGCAACTTTCACCAAGCTGGTGCTGTCTGTATACATTGGTTTACAACTCCCACAATCTCCATCCAGCAAAGACACTGGCCCTCCTGGCTTGAGGTATTGTAGTCTAATATAACTGCAGGGCATCATGTTGGGGAAGGCTGATTTAGTTTGAAGCACTATAGAATGACTGCTTATAAGTCAGTCATTTTCTTATCTGGGGTATTAGCCAATTCATTTCAAGTTGTCCTAAATTCCCTTAAGACTCTTAGAGCAGAGAAAAGCCCAAGATGGCTGGCTGGCTGGCTGATTTATTTATTTACTTATCAAATTTATATAGCCACCCATCTCACAGAAAAATGAGATTTTGGGGTTGTCGGCCCCTGGAGATGAATGTTTTATGTCAATTCACATTCTATGTTTTATGTTCATGGGCCGCAAATTGTTATATATTGCCCTGTGCCCATATAACCAAGTATCTTGGCCTAGCCAGTGTAAACTATTCAGGCTTCATTGGTATTCTGTTCTGCATGTAGGATTCTGACCTATAGTCTCCAATAATCTCAGCCCCCAGAATCCAGCATGTAGGGATGCTGTTGCAGAATCCAGGCTCCCTCCATTCATGAAACGGAAGAAACCTTTTTCAACAACCTGTAGCTCTGAAATTATATGGGTGAACCAGTATACTATAGTTGTTAAAATGTGGGCATGGAGTACAGAAACCCAGGTTCAGTTTCCCATTTTTCCATGAAACTTCCTGGACAATTTTGGCCAGTTGTATTTCCATAGTATAACCTGCCTTACGTATTGAAAGCAGAGCAAACAACTAAGTAATATGTATCCTTTTTTCCCCTTTAATCAGCGGGCCTCTTGACTTTATTGTCTTTGGAAACAGCTCTTCTTAATGTAAGTCCTCTTTATTTTGAAGATAGCTTACCTTTTCAGAATTTCTGCCAACAAATTTGTTACAGTTTAAAGTAACATTTGATTACTATAAGTCAACATTCCTAGCATTTACATTAGGAATAGACAATACTTTTAAGCTGGAGGCTCATTTCAGATTTTGAGAATAGAGCGAATACCTTCACAAAATGGCTCCCTTGGCAGGTGGGCTATTTGTGGCAAGTATGGCCAGTCACAAAGCACCCGATAGTGAATGGGAGGATCTATTTCAAGCAGTGCTGGATTTAGGCATAAGTGAACAAGCTACAGCTTAGGTCTACAATCCACAGAGCCTCACAAAATTTCAGATTTTTTTTTTTTTTTTGGCTTTTAGAATTTATATTTAAGCATTGTTTTCAGGGTACTATATTATAATCTGTGAGAGAGATCAAGTCAGCCAAATTATAAATATGTAATCAGTAAATGCATTCATTTGAAAATAATTTGTATTTTTCACTTTAAATACCTTGCTATTAAATAATTAAAAGGTATATACAGTGGTACCTCGGGTCACAAACTTAATTCGTTCCGTGACTCTGATCGCGACTTGAATTGGTCGCAACCGGAATCAAATTTTCCCATAAGGTTCAATGTAATTATGGTTAATCGGTTCTGATCCCTCCGAATTTGGTCGCCAACCGATTTTGGTCGCGTCCCGAATCAAATTTTCCCATAAGGTTCAATGTAATTATGGTTAATCGGTTCTGATCCCTCCGAATTTGGTCGCCAACCGATTTTGGTCGCGTCCCGAATCAAATTTT